GAGACTGTATTGTCAAGGTCAATTTGCATTTCATATGACAGTTGTGATATAGTAAAATTGTCATAGATTGTGATTATCCGCCGTTGATTGGTGGAAATGAATTGATCGTTAACTATTGGCATAAAATATCTTACGTCCGAGCTATAATATTGTACAATACCTACTACATAAGTAGTGTCTATCGTACAAAGAGGACGAAACGCAAATTTTAGACTCCCCCTTCTGGCCGTTATTTATCCCTATTATCATATGTAGTGAAGAAGTAAGGTCATCCAAGGATGAATCTATCTACATATTTAATTCATCTACTGTCGACAGCGAATGAATTATCAAAATATATCAGATACGATGGATGAATATATCGATTCCTGATCAGAACGCTTATGGAAAATGAATATATGTTGCGGTTCATACACCGTTGTAGAAACCTAGTAACACCGAAGCCCACTGTATACAATGTTTCTAAGACATGTATCCATATCGCCACCATATAGAGGGGAGTTGAATTGTATGGTTTTGATGCGGAGGCTAACGTCCACCATCAGTGGAATACATCTTACACCAAAGCTTATCATTGTGGGAAAGAAAAAGGCACATGTTTCACCACAAACCTAAACATTGCATAAATGATTACGTCGCATCCTACTGTGCTTACCAGTTAACATATGTTTGTGAACACACACATAAGGAGGAGTAATGGAATCATTTAGTCGAACGTGATAGAACATGTACCTAAGTGGTTTCAGAAACGGATAGAATGTGAAACTGGTAAGCACAAGTGGCAGACAACCCTCTTCATTTATAGCTAAACATATCATAGAAATGGGTCACAGTTAATACTCAAACAGTTTTCAAAGTTTTACAGAGAAAGTCAGGTACGAATACTGAAATTTGTTTTCTTACCAGATTTAAGATCAAATATGTTATCCTTCAATTTTTAACTTCCTAAATTTCAATCCCATTACTTTAATTGGTCTATTCGTTCTTCCATTCTTTGATTTTATATAAACTGACTTGACAAGTAAATGTACGATCAGACGGTTCGAAGTGTATTGCCGAAATACAACGCATTGTTCAGATAAAACTCGTCTTCTAATTATACTACCCAAATTTTATGACAGACTAATTGTTTTAAGGTATTTCAGCTGCGATTTCATCGGTCAATTCACTGAAACTTCTTATACTACTTATCTTAGAATTATAGGTAGCCTAATTTTGTGACTAGTTTATGCATAATAAAGCTGACAGATTTTCAGAATTGAATCACTTTAAAATCAACTAACTGGATACAATTTCAGCTACACACCTAGTACAAAACTATTAGTAGAGAAAAGAACCTCAATTTTGCTCGAGCTATTACTGACAGTGTGATCTCTCTATCTGGATAAAGATACCAATTTCAGTAACCCTTTCAATAACACTGATTACTCAGCTTTTTCCTTTTTATGACAATCGAATATCTGCAATGCAAAATAACATGAACCAAATTCCTTTCTGAAAACTTCCCACTGATAATATAATTGTCACTAGTTTTATTTTACTACTCTTGCAAATATTCCGGAATCTCTCTCCCATTGGCCTCAAACATAACTCTGTGTTTAGTAAACCATATACTGTTACTTGGAGATTCAACACAAAATCGTATGGTGGATAATATAAGTTTAGAGGACACAAAGCAGAAAAAAATAAGCTCAGTTTGGATATAATAGCGGAAGAACTACGGAGATGAGTAGTACCAATAAAGATTAAGGAAGGTCAAACAACAATTTCAGATCTTTGGCTTGTAAATTCCTCTTAAACTAGGATCCAAAATTGTGCAACCAAAATATCGAAATATTTTAAAAAGAAATTAAGAACAATTTGCAGAGAATATCATTGTAACCTGCTTAAACTAGCTGATAGAAATGAACACGTAGGTATGCCATAATATACTACCTATAGTGTACTATACCTATTTTATGAAGATAAGGCAGCTACTTACTTAACCGTACTTCGATAGGCGAAGCTGCAAGACCTGTTAACTAGACACAAACTGAAAATGATCTCATCGTCAGAAATTAGGGACTTCGGAAAAATAAGAAAGGACCAGCAGGCAATTATTGCTGATGAATCCTTAAGGCTGATCAAAGTGACTTTCAGTACGCCATATGTTTCGATAATCTCTGGTTTATTATCCAATTAAGATGAGAATCACCTTTAAACGTTCTTGGCAAAAGTCAGCTAGTTGGTTTTTGAATCAATTCTATTATAGATCATGATTTGCCTATATGGATTTACGGGCCACCTAAAACGAAGGCAGATATGCAAACATACATTTCAAGCTGATAAATAAATCATTTCATTCAGAATACATACAATGACAAAACATGTGATGATATATCAACGCCATCTGTCGATATGTGCAGTTCCTAGGCTCACCTTTAAAACTACTCTTGCCTTAATCAGTGAACCCTATTAACCTGGTAGATCTCAAACAACGATCCATTCGCCTTCAACAAACTGACACCGTCCTACCACTTACTCTACTGTAATTATGCATAGGTTGCTTCTCCGATTCAGTCTGACTTCTAAACAGAAATTTGATTAGCTCTGATTTGTTGATGGGGTACAGATACGTTTGCACGGTGTTGATTCGCTTATTTTAACTGTTAATCGGTCTCTGTTACCTTTAATTTCCAACCTTCACTGCGAATTTGGTAAGTTTTCTCTTCGGAAACACCAAAGATGGTTTTTAACCGTTTTTTAGTTGGCTGTAAGTGTACTACCATTTATGGAATTAACTTCGTATGCTTATCACTTCTGTTGAGCCTATGGCAACACCGCTTGTATTTTACACCAATTTTCACGTCTAAACTTCAATGAAAGCCTAGGTGACCAAATGTCTTTTTCACTGGGTTATACAATTTCTACACACTAAAGAATCAAACTCCTACTTACGATATGTGAATTAGAAGTAACGGCTTTTAATGGATATGATAGCTACCACTCCGTATGCGTAGACTAGTCTCGAGTCGATAAGCTATACTGATCATTCCTTTCCAACCTGTAGAAGTTACATTGGTGCAGGGGTTGGATTTGCAAATCACAATGACCCAACAAGCTTTGTTGATGGAAACGACTGCTCCTTCGTTCACGATCATCTTCGAAGCGAATTTCATCATTAATCTATTACTTTTCTACTCTTTTTATAACTCTTCACTGCTTTTGGTCCCCTCCTTATCTATCTTTCATTTTGGTACCTTGATGTGGCAACTGGACGCGTTATGCAGTAACTCCATGTTGCTATTGTCTAACTAACTGAATCACAATGAAAAAATTATACTCGTTATGATTACACCCCAAACAGTTAATGCACTTATTATCACTGTTGCGTTTATCACGTGACAAAAGTTACGCAACTATTGGTCAATGGAATAAAACACAGGTCACGGTATTCACTTATAATAGTATATCTAACTAGTAATCGACCCAACGAAGGCCTTTGACAGCGTCGACTGAGAAGTAATTTGGAAACTGCTTCACTAATACGGAGTGCCGCAAACCTTTATCCGCCTCATTCAACAACTATATGAAGATGCAACATGCCGGCCAAGTAATTCACAATGGGAAGGAAGCTCAGTGATGCTTTTGAAGTGAAGACAGGAGTGAAACAAGGTTGCCTACTATCCCCCATGATATTCCTTATTGTGGTCGACTGGATCATGCAGCAAACAGTGGTGAGCTGTGAGAAGAGGGGGATACGCTAGACCGGGTAAAAGATCCTAGAAGACTTGGATTTCGCCGATGACTTGTGCCTGATGTCACACAAACTTGAAGATCTGCAGGCAAAAACTAACAAGTTGATAGAAAAGGCAGCTAAGACGGGACTTCAGGTGAATATAGAGAAGACAGAAGTGATGAAGATACCGCACCACCAACAACAACAAACTCCAATCACCGTCAACGGGAGAAACTTGAAGGAAGTAACCTCCTTCACTTATCTAGGAAAGCACTGTTTCAACTACAGGCGGGACGGACGAGGACGTCAAAGTCAGAATCGGAAAAGCAAGACAGGTGTTCATTAGCCTGAAACCAGTGTGGAGATCTTCTGCACTCAGCATGCGGAACAAGATACGGATTTTCAACACCAACGTCAAGTCAGTGCTCTTGTATGGTTCAGAGAGTTGGCGCGTCACGAAAGGTATTTCCAATAAACTACAGACATTCATCAACAACTGCTTACGCTCGCTGCTGAAGATCAGATGGCAGAAAAAATAAGCAACAAGGAACTCTGGGAACGAACCAACCAAGAACCTATCACGCAACAAATATGCAGGAGGAAGTGGAGATGGATTGGCCATGCACTGAGAAGGCCGACTGAGGACATCACGCGTCAGGCCCTCGAGTGGAACCCCCATGGGAAGCGACGAGTTGGACGTCCAAGGGTGACATGGAAGAGGTCGTGCGAGGAGGAAATGAGAGCTTCTGGGCTGTCGTGGGACCAGGTTCAAAAGATCTCAGAGAACAGAGGTCACTGGAGACGTGCTACTGAAGCCCTACGTTCCACTAGGAACCCAAGGGACTAATAATAATAATAATAATAATAATAATAATAATAATAATAATAATAATAATAATCGACCCAACAGGTAGAGGTTTGAGATGATTGCAAACAAGTAGCTGTGGTTTGTTTAGCCTTACAACTAAGTCGACATCTAAGAGGAAACGAAACCTCTGACTAGTTATTTTGACCCTCCTTTCTTCAGGAAAAAACCGGATGGGAATGTTTTGGAAAATTTATTAACGACTGAACATATTTCGGCAGAGGTAAAAAGAAGAGCATAGAAAATTTATCCTAGACATCAGAAATGGAGCAAATTTAACAAAAACCATCCAGATCCATGTACAAAAATGTAGAAGATTTGGTACATGTCATGAGAATATACACAGAAAATAGATTTTATTGCAAAGTTATCACTACACGAAATCGAAACAACAAATATATGTGAATAAATGTTTCTCTACTTCGAAATTATCAAACCACGCATCACATCCATTGAATTACCATCTGGATGTAGACTATGCTTGGCTCCAGTACGTATATCTTTTATGAGAAGGTAACCATAAGCATCTAATCCAACAATTCGATAATTATCATCAGATCGCTGGTCACATTGGTTTTCTGCACTATTTGCACTCATAGTTGAATTAACTTGAAGGTGGACCTTTTGATTTCTAAATGAATATTTTTTTAAAAATTATAAATAAACGAAACTTGTGAGCAGTATATCTCAATAAATGTGTTGATTTCTCTTAAAGTTTATATTACTAGCAAAGTAATATATTGGGTGGACATGAAATGCAAGCGAACTAAGTCACTGGAGTTATCAATCTTCACGATAGTCCATTACCTGTGGGTGACTCATTTCAAATATACACACGATCTAATATTATAATTAGCAGGCTACAAACACATACAATTTGGAAGCCAACAAAAACACTGCATAACATAGTCACTTCGTAGCATGGATTCACGAAAGTTGAAAGCTAGAAAACTACTGAGATAACCAATCAGGTTTCTTTATTTTAGCTGGAGAATTAATTTTTTCATAAATTGAGGAGACCTATTTCAGTAAGTTCTAGAATGGCATCTAGACTCACTTGGAAAGTACTATATATAGTATACGTGTTGAAGCTCTACTACTTCTATGACACAGTTAACGTTCTACAAAGCTGCAGTTCAAAAGTATACGTTATCGAATCATATATATATATATGTATATATATATATATATACCAATCAAATCGTAGAACAAATAGTTCACCGAAGAGAATCCCTTTCAACAAGTTTATTTCCAAGAGCTATACAATCGTATATTTCAAGGTAGTATTCATCGCAGACATTATCTTACATGGCATCCACCAATCTCAACAAAATAATCGATACAGATTAGCCAAATTACTATAACTTAACGCAAGAGGCGGTCGGTGGAAGATTGATACTCCACCTGCAGCTCAAGTCTGCATAGTAATCACGTGTTGCTTCAAACATACGTATGTCCGCCATTAAATGGAAGTAGGAAAACCATAGGAACAAGTTCACTGCAAGCGATGATTAGTGATGAGAATACAAAGTTCGCCTACAGCGAGAAACTGGACAAAAGGTTATCAGAATATTCAGGAGAAGCCTGGAGCCAACTCGACCCCTCTGTATAAAAATCACTCAGGACCACAGCCAACTATTACAGATTGGTTGAAAAAGCTAGTGGATATCAGCAACTTCTTCTGAATTAATGAATGAAGGTGTACACATTCCTGGGAACGAGAAGTGGTGAGTAGCGAAAGCTAAAGAAATGAAAAGGGTAGTGGCGATGAGTTACAGTAGACAGCCATTTAGGATTATCACGCAAACTGGGGTTGGAAAGTCAATAGTTAGTGACATCAAAGTGGTGAGGGATTGATCTGCGATTCACTCTCAGGGCAAATGATTGAAACGATAGGTTGAACACTTCGACGAACAGTTCAACCAGTCTCCAGCTAATATTCCATTGTTGCCTATCCAGTTGAATCCTGAACGGTACATCGAGGTAGGATTTCCAACAGCCTCAGAAGTCGAGAAATTTGTGACTAACCTGAAACAATGGAAGGCGACAGAGTCAGAGAGACTAGTGCTGGAGGTATCTAAAGAAGGTGGTCGAGGATTATTGGTCAGATTAACTGATATGTTAGCCAGTGTATGGGGATCAGATGTAATCCCTACTGACTGGTCCCAATCACCGATTGTGCCAGTCTCCAAGGGAGGGGAGAAATGCTCTTGTGACAACCACAAGTGGATCAACCTGATGAACATAGTGTCTGAGATTCTAGGTTCTATAATTATTAGACTTCTAGTTGGAACGCAAGAACAGCGGACCGAAAAACACCAGGAGAATACTTGGTAGATATGGAATATGAAACTTTCCGGACAACTTCGTGTCAATATGAGAATGTTTGGGATGCGTTTCTCGCCACCCAAATGCAAGTTTTCGCCCCAGGACTGGTCTTCAACGGTGCCCTTCCTAACAATAGAAAGTGAAGTAGTTGGGTGCATTAAATACTTCACTTAGCTGAGAAGTCAGATCACCCATGGTGGGTCAGTGGCCGATGAAATCTCTGCACAGATGCAAAAGGCTCGATTGGCTTTTACCAACTTACGCCGTCTGTGGCGCCATCGTGATATCCGACTGTCTATTAAGGGTCGAGTTTACTGTGCTTCAGTTCACTCTGTTCTACCGTATGTCGTGAAACATAGCCATTAAAAGTAGAAAAAATGAGAAAGCTTCAGGTGTTTGACCACCGTTGCCTTAGCAACATAGGCCATGTGTCGTGATGTCACCACGTGAGTAACGCAGAAGTCAGATGCAGAGTTTAGGGAGGAGAGGTAAGTCAGCTGATGCAGTCGTGAACCTTCATCGGCTGAGATGGCTGGGACATGTTATCCACGCCTAGTTACCACCTGCCTCCGCACGTAATATTAGCTGAAGTGGGTTTACGCTAGAAAATGGTCCAGGACGGTCACATTAAAACATGACGCCACTGCATGAAGTCCTTAACTGTTGGTTTCAGTTATGTAGGGGGATGAAAGCTAGCCAGTTAGGGTCCACGCGAGACTAGGTGATATGGCTCGAGTATATCCACACATTATCCTCATCTTAGTCATCAAAATAAATTCAGTATTACCTCATTCATCTCTCCTCTCTTTTACTACTTCCCACTGCTTTCTCGTTTGATGTATTGATATGAGGTGTAGGAACTTGCACCGTTATGTAGTAATGCCTCGTACTATGTTGATAGTGGTAACGATGATGATTCACTACGAACTGACATCAATTGTAGAAACATTGAAAATCCGGGAACATTAGATAGCTGCTTCGTCCTAGAATGGGACTCCTCAGCAGCGCACATCCATGAACCTGATAGGAATTGAACCTAGGGTCTTTAGGCCTCATGGCAAAGGCGTTTACCATTCAGCCATTCAGTTTCCCACTTCTCTCAATAGGTGATATAGCGCGACTATCCACCTAGGTTGGCATCCGCTTCACTTTCGACTGGTTGACTCTACAAGTCACAGCTTTCCATGTATGGTTTTGAAGGCCTGGTGAAAAGATAGGTTATTTGTTTGGTATTGTTTTTTTTTTACTAGTAAATTTAACTTGATTACTCTTGTTGATTTTCTACAGATCTTTGCTGTTACAATGCACAACAGCACCAAGCAATTTGGAATATGGTAGCATTTAGTGTTGTTTTTCTTTAGTTTCAAAGCATTAGCTATTTTTTTTCCACAAATCAGTTCCTACAATGGGAAATAAAAGTGAAGTAAAGCAATCTATCGTCGGAAGCAAACTGCTATTGAGGTCAGTAGTAAATAAACATAGAACAAGATATACATACAACTAGTTGAACAACCCCCTATTTGACAATCAACTTACGTATGCATCCAACATTTCGTGTATAAATGAAGTGCCCATTCAAGATCATAGCTTGAATTAGGATCATGAATTTTATTCAGTATTCCTTCCATATAACTTATTACGAGTGAAATTAACTTGGCAATTGTATATTTCGGTTTTCCGCTACACTGACGACACTGGGTCAAAACTTGTTCAAGGCATATTGTTGGTACTTTATTGAATGCATTAATACCACAACCTAGAAGCATAGTTTTAGAATGATAATACACATGAAATTTAAACTTTGGATTGTCTGTAAACAAAAAGTTTATTTCAACACAACGAGTTAAAGGACAAAGTCTGAGCAGTTTTAAGTGTATCAATGTTTTTCAATTACTATCCGGGAAGAGATCAACGCAGACAAAACCAATGAAAGATAATGAAGGAAACCTAGTTACCAAAGAGGAAAAACAAAGGAATCGATGGGTTGACCACTTCAAAAAACTCTTGAATCGAGCACCACCACCTACAACTCGTCCACAAATACCAACAACAACCGCATAACTACCAGTAAATACAGGCCCTCCGACAAAAGCAGAAGTCCTGAATGCCATAAAACTGCTGAAATCCGGCAAAGCAGCAGAACTAGATGGAATTCCACCAGAACCACTGAGAACAGATGCAGAGACAACAGCGGACATGCTCACACCACTACTGCAGAAGGTTTGCAGGGAAGCGAGGAAGGAAGGGAGGAAAGGTACCTGCCAACTGATTGGAAGAAGGGCTACCTTGTCAAACTTCCAAACAAGGGAGACCTAAGTCCTTGCATGAACTGGCGGAGAATCATACTACTGTCCACAAAAAGCAAAATATTATGCCACATCATTCTCGAGAGACTAAAACGAAAATGCTCTCTATTCAAAATTATGACAGCAGTAGACTGGCTGGCTGGCTGGCTGGATTCTGGAAGAACAAATCATGTGCCGATCAAATTGCAACGCTACCCTACGCATCATCATCATCATGGATCAGAGTACAGAATGGCAGTCGACTCAACTCTCTACCTCAACTTCATCGACTCTGAAAAGGCCTTCGACAGTGTCGACTGAGAAGTAATCTGTCAGACAGCTGCTGCAAGACTACCAAGTGCCACAAATCTTTATCTACCTCATTCAACAACTATATGACAGCGCCATATAACAACTGCACATCCCGTGGGATGAAGGATAGTTGTATAGGGTTAGCATCTGTTGGTGCATTACAACTCCCTAGGTGGGGCTCGAGAGATCACGCAACTCAGTGGCTTGAGACATTATCAGACATCGAAACCAGCGATGGTTATGATGTAGCTTCCTTCTATTTTCTGCTGTTGAAAAGTAATGGATGTTTGTTTTTAAATGCATCTTACCGGACTGTCTTTCTAGACGTACTATTCTTGTTTTTTTCTTTTTGTCCACTTCATTTCACTTTGTCTTCAAAATAGTGTTATATTACTTTGTGTGGAGCATTTCTTGATGCCCTTGGTGTACCATATTTGTATTCTAATAATAATAATAATAATAATAAGCTTGGACGAGATAGTACTTCCCTACATTGACTCACTTGCCTTTAGTGTTATTATGATTATGAAATAGGTGTAATTTTTCTCCCACAAAATTAGCAGAACCTAATGTACGTCTGTTTACCTGGGCAGTTAATTAGATTAGCCCGGTGCATATACATGACCGAGTTTAATGAGTTTCATATTCGTCTGTAATAAGCACTATGAGTTATAACATAGCACTCATACAAAAAAAAGCGGGTCTCATCAGCCAGATCAGAGTAACTGCGACATAAGACAGTTTCTTAGTTCCTTGAGCTAATTACTGATACGCATACACAGATTCCTTTTCGAAGGTTAGGTTGTTCAGATAATCACAATGCACTACTAAAAAACATAACAAAATGTTTACCGATTAGAAACTCCACATGACTGGGATCGACCAAACGACAACGAACTAATACACCAGCCAATTTTCCAATGGTATTAAACTGAGGAGGATTAGAAACGGTCTCTTGAGTGTTACTATCACCATAATCTTCTACAACATAAACATCATTCGGCCATTTCACAAGGATTTTCGGTCCATGGTACTGAAGATTCTGTAAAGAAGAACGTTGGGTTAAATAAATTTAACAACTCACAAAAAGCTGTTTACCCGTTAAGATATAAGCAAGCAACACATATCAGCAGAACCACTGGAACATATCATAGTGTGCGAGTAACCATAAGAATAAATAGGTGGTATTACTAGTCAATTCAAGCCAGTTAACCAAGTCTGAATAAGCTGGATCTTAACCTGATCCCTGAAAGAGTGAAGTGGTACTTGGACATCTCAGAATAAATCACCAGATACCTCACGTAAATGGTTTCAGGTTGTCAGCATTCTTCAGAGATAAAGTTTCTTATCCCTTGCAGGAGCACTTTTTTATGAAACATAAATTTAATGAGCTCAGTGACAACATTTATAGTCTACATTTAGTACCGAGAAAAAAGAACCGAATCTTACTAATATTGTCATGTATAAATGAATCCCTCTGATGGTAGTTTTCATCAAAGTCGCTCAACATTTATTTGTCATTTAGAGGTGCAAGATTACATGACAGTGACCCACTAGTTTACGTGCTCAGTTATTAACATTTACGTCACCAACTATCGAGATCCGCATAGCAATCAGCATTAGCTCTCTATATAACAAGTCTAGCTAGTTGGCTAGTGCGCGGATATGCATATGGTGGTTGGATTGCATTCCATTTCCAACTCAACAGTGACACTGACAGACACATCATCGATACGCGTGATGCTGTACGCTTAAATACAGCTTTCCACGTCAGACAAAGTCAGCGCAGAACCCCACACACAAGTGTGTCGGCTCAAGTTGCCAGAGTTCCCGGTAGCATGCAAGGAACAAGTGCATAGAAAGAGACTAATATCAAAATAGAGGAAGGTATATGATAGAATAGACAGTTTGAAGACAAAGATCAATGTAAATATTCAAGCTTTAGAAGACGTCAAGAAGTGAATACATTTGTGCCACTGCGACCGATTTTCGGCCATCACCAAAAGTCCTTGACCACTGGTTCCTATCGTCTTGAGGACCCCAGTGAGGCAGTCTACAGCTTCCTACGCAGCTCAAAACAAAAGTCATAGATTTCATGGAGTAATGCCACGTCTTAGTCTGATCAACCTGAGCCATCTTCTAAACAAATTCAACTTCTAATACCATTGCACGTCGAGGTAGGCAGTGGACAGCACATTGAATATTACATCGGTTTTCTGCAAGGAGAGAATCGCTGACACGTTCAGATAAATCCTTAGCTATCTCCTCCCTAAGTACACATTCGACATTGTCATCTTCCAGCCTAACGAATAGAGGTTTCACTGCTCTCTATCTTGTAAGCTGATTAAGATGTAGACGTACATGTCCCGGTACTAACCAGTGACCACAGTCAAAGTAGGGTACCCGTTGAAGAGTGACATTCCTCCACTCATCCTCTTTAACGCTGTCTGACAGCAATATGAGCTATCTCTGTCTATCGTTTGTCTGATGTCAGTGGACTTCAGATCAGACAGTGTCTCTCTTTATGCTTGAAGCTAGTCCTGGCCAGAAAGAAGCGATTGTCCAAACAAAATTGCGAAAGGCGATTATCACAGTCGGCTTGTTGGTATGAAATACAATAGATTCCTTCAAGACGTCTTTCCGACTGCCTCAGCTTTCCTACTTCAGCGTTGAAGCCGTTTACCAGTGTGACTATATCTAAAAGTTCTGTGGTAGGCACGTAAGCAAAGATAATGAATAGACATCAACAAGTCTCATGATCCTTCCCGGTTCTTACAGATCCATTCAGTTAAACAAAACACAGACGACTGTTGATTGGTATCAGTCTAGAAGTATATCCTCTGCTTTACAACTTAGTGCTATCTTACACCAGGGAATTCACGAGAGTTGAATCACCGGATATTCGTGAGGGGAGTTTCGAAGATTCATCGCATTGGGCAGGTGATATCAAGTGAATAACCACACTCAGGTCATGTATATGTGTCCCAGAAACATAGCACACACCTGTGGTTCATAATTCTAGATTTCTAGCAAAAGATATCTGCTGTCTAATTTGGCATAGGATTCGGATGTCAAGAGCTTTAGTAAGAAATAAACAGATGGATTTTAGGAGACTCTGAATGGTGCTACGTTGACGTGGATCGGTACCAATGGTAACAGAGTGGAAGACTGAGGAAGTTCTAGGAAGCCTAATAGTGGTGTCAGGAAATGAATAATAGGAGAAGAAGGTAAGGACGTAAGCTTATGGATAGTTGGATTTTGTAGGCTACTGGAAGTGTGCGGGCGGTTGATACTTTCCGGTTACTCATACAGTGGAAGCTGTTTTTGCAAGGTACCTGAAAGAGACATCTGCCTGAGACCCATCACATGCAAGTTTTTGGGGATTTTCGGTATGAGATTTGATTTCTCTAGTGATGGGTAGAGAAAGCTTATACCGCCCGCACCGAGAGATTGCAAGACAAGGAATGTGCTACTTTTAGGGTCAACTTTTTGTGACTCCCATGTCCCCATAGAGAAGGTAGCATCCGTATGGTACTGCGCGGAAAACACCTTGCTGCTTTCTATGTAACCAAAAAAACAAGGTATTATTAGATTGCTACGATATGTAGAAGCAGCAGCAACCCGTCGAATGAAACAAAACGTATGTGTGCAAAAGGATTTTGTGGTACATCTAGTATTGCTTCAGTGTACTGTTGTTTTCCAATCACCTTATTCTTTGTTTTTTCACCTTGTCGTCTCGCATTTCATTTTCAAAAACAATTCAATTCCTATCATTTTCAATTTACTGTATTTGATTATATTTTAATTGTGGCTTTTAGCATAAACTGTTTGGTGTTTTCACTTCATAGAAAATTTATAAAGGGAACTACTAAATGTATGTCCACGTAGGAGCTTTATTGGTAACCAGCCGAGTTGGAAGACAAAATTTGTCTGTAAGAGACAAAATGTCTCACACAGGTTTGGTAGATGAAGCAATACAATACCGACGTCCACTAATCGACCACAAAGCATGCGTGAATACAATCTATCCGATAAACGGTTGGAACTAGGTAGCTTAATGATTGAGACTGATGACCTAAATTAGTCAGTTGTTTTCGTATATATAACAAAATTGTCAAGATGAAAAATGTGCAGAAAATGGATTACATAAACAGCAATTCGAGTAAATTATTGTCATTACTAAACAAAATATAATGATTATTATTTTTGACTATTTGAGATAGCCATGGTTTGGCAAACTTGTGTTGATAATGGGTGGTGATTGAAGGTGAAATGAAAGACTGGACTGAAGTGAAATAAAAATCTGGTCAGCAGTCGGACCTTAAAGCTCATTTGGTAGAGCACCAAGTCGGAAACCCGGTGGTCCTTTCACTTTCAATCATCACCCGTTATCAATACAAGTCTACCGAACCACGGCTACCTCACGTAGTCAAAAACGATAATCAATATGCTCCTTCTTTCTAATCCAGTTACATTTGGATGAAAAGTCTTGACTGGGCAGCCAGTGTGAGTACGATCAAGCGGTAGTAAAGCGTCACGAATTCACATGGTAGTCGGGCAAAAACCCCTGTGATTGAGGTGAAGTTAAGATCTGATGAGCACCCAGGTTTCGTCGTTCAATTGACAGAGCACCGGGCAGATAATCGAGAGGCCAATCGTTCGAATCCTGCCACCGCACATATTTTCATTTCATCTCCAATCACCACTCAGTATCAAAATGAAATTTATTTAAAAGAATATAAGAAATAAATAATCAGCCAACTTACGACCAGAAACTCCTCACTGATGTCAGATAATTTACTTTCATTTGACAATATCTCTAAATGCTCAGCAATTAGATGTCTACATGCCAGAACTATGCTTAACGCTGTAATATGTTGAATACACGTTACATAATTCATAAAGATTTGACCATTGGAATTGGATAACGTCAAATGAAATGTAAATGCAGCCTGTCCAACAGGACTAATCCATTGATTTTCACCTCTACCTAATAAAATGGAAAACAAAATATGCAGTATGTTTATTATCATTGTTATTGAAATGAGGTTTTCTGGTTAATAATGGACTAAATATTTTCAAGAAAGTTTAGAAGCAGGGTTAATTACAAGTTGATGTTCGGTGATAAATTACTGAAAAGGAAAGAATTGACGTGCTTTCTTTATAAATTGAAATCGCTAGCCCTTGAGGCAATTAAATAAATTTAAATATTTATTGAAATTATTCAACTTCAACCTATTCTTCTCTCAGTGAAACTTATCCTTCAGAAATGCAAGTGATAATAATTCATACCGTAGAACTCAAGATTTTTGAACGACTTAATACACTTTTATTAACTCGACATTACTCATAGAAGTTCGCAATTGGCTGTCTAAAACTCATTGAATTTTAACAGCTACTGGTTGAACAAGTTAAAGCAGATGATTACCGACTACCCCAGCTCACTTTAACTACCTGAGCGTTAAAGTCACCTGCCGTTATGATTAAATCTCAACGCTTTGCTTCATGTAGCAAAACTGACAGCTTCTCATCAAATTCATCGTTTGCATCATCTGAACTACAGTTGGTGGGACCGTACGCAGACATCACGAATAAGCATCTGCTAGTTTCACAATATTTCCTAGTTCTTATAAGTCCATTGAGTCGAACTGAACATAAACAGCTGTTGAATGGTATCATGTAATGTATCATGCTGAGAATTCCAAATTGTATCACAAATTGTTTGGAATAAAGTGAAGCACTATCATTATCATTATTTTTATCATTAAAATCAATTGATGAGCTTTCAGATGATTTGTAAACGTCAAGTGGAGTCTTCCAAAAATGACCGTCCTTTCCATTCTTAGTCCACTTCGTCAAAGACGGGAGCATGGATGTCTCTCTCTCCTCATTCGAATCTAAGACGATTGAACTGGTCAAACAAGACTAAGATGGCATAGTCCAATTAAGTGAGGTCACTGACAAAATCCATTCTCATGGATACCTACAGTGAGAATATTTGAAATACGTTTATCACCAGCCAGACAGCACGGCTCCCGTCAATACCTCGTCTCACTATAATCACTGGAATGATTCAGCATCTTGACCACTTCACACACACACACACACACACACACACACACCACCACCACCACCATCATAACCACCACGTCCGAAGTCAAACAAGACCTGATATACACCAGCATTCAACAAAATCTTACCACAAACACAAAAACCTCGATTGCTTTTCAACAACCTTAACCATCTATGACACCACCATCATTTCCCATCCTCGAATAACTGCAGACTGTACAGAACAGCAGTTCCTTCCATTCTACTCCATGAAACCAAAAAATAACAAACAAAGGTAGATGACACGGCAACACTTCATATCCTCAATCACCGTTCCCTTCGTAACATTCCCATGTGTCAGACAACCACCAAGTCAGTTGTGTATAAGTCGGGTGTAGAATTTCAGGTGAAAAAGGAAACCACTTGATGCAGATGGATCACTTTGTAAATCCTCATCAAATCACTCAGATGGCTCACACATACGTTACGCATATCTGCCTAGTCAACATTCCCTACCTCATCCAATACAAACTCAAGTAGGTCAGTGCTACAACATAACACCAATCCATCAACACAAAGTCTCTGCTTGTTAGTTTGACCCACCCGTCTACGGAAAATCTAAGCTGTTGCATTGGGGTGCGAGTGACAACTGAAATCCGTAGTTGTGCACAATCTCATACATACGGCTCACAGTCGATTCGAGAGATGAAGATGCATCCACGCTATTTTATCCTAATTCCTAGAGATGAATACAATCGTTGATCTATTGTTTCTTCCCAATAATTTTGATCACTTCCTTATCTATCTTTTGATTTCATGTTCTCTACCCTGATGTGATGATATGAAGTTTGGTAACTGGATGTGTTATCCAATAGTTTCAGATTCCATGTTGATATTAACTGACTGATGATAATTGTAGGTATTCCAAGTGAAAAGTGCAGTTAGGTCAATTTAGGTATATTTAAACGGTAAAGCGTACTAGTGAACAATGCGATGAAGCTGGGTTTTTTTCTAGAACTCAAATTGTTTTAATTACAGCTTTTAGTAAATTGTCTTTGAGGACCGTCAAAACGACAGGAATCAATAGTTGGAGATTCAAGGTGATATCGCTTAAAGATGATAAACAATGGCACAGATAAATACACGTTATGTCATCGTAGAAGGTTGGTACACTTTTCATTCACCTTAATTTTTTCGGTCCTCTCTCCTCGCATATACCTTCATCAATTTAATTTTATGTCGATCTACTCCCTGCTCTCATGGTGCTGTTAAGTGTGGCAGCTTCAGTTGAGGGACTTATTCGCCAATTTTTAAGTTGACTTGTCTCTTTCCTTGTAAATCATTTTTACTTTATTCAGATATTAACTGTGCATTTTCGTATCTAGGTTTTATAGTAGAGATGGTAAGGTAAGTGAGAAGAAAAAAACGAAACTAACTCAACAATGCCGTACACTTTCTTGCAATAGGCACTGTCCCATACCTTTTGTTTGACAGCTAACAATACTATTTACCTGACAGAGCTGAATAGGGGGAGGAGGATTTGAACCCATGGCCCACCGGTTGGAAGTTAAGTGCATAGATTAAAGAGCAACAGATTCGCAAGCCAAAAGACACTTAAACTTGGCACGAAAATCTAGCCATTCAGGCTTTAAAACTTGGTAGTGGATTGGGAGAGAGCGTATTTCCTTCCAGAAGCTAGAAACCAGAACCATTAGTTGATTCTTTGACAAATGAACCAAGTGCTAGAGTGACGCGCAAAATGCAAGAAAGGATTTGTCTGAAATGCGGTAGGATATTATTCAGCAACAATAATGACCAACAGACTGAAAAACTCGAATGGTGAGGTGTCTTTGTGTTTATCGCTGTCATAAACACTTTATGAGAAGCGTGTCTACAAAATAAACAGCAGAGTTATGTCCAACGAAAAACCACGGTCAGAAATGTCAGAAACGCGCGGAATCGCAGGGCACGATGAGCGATATAAGAGAAACAAATGTTCAAAGGAAGAGAGAGAACCAGGGAAGCAAACGGAGAGAGTACAAAACAATCATGAAATTGGAAAGATGATTATAACCTACAATCATAACAGGAATGAACAACCTGAGAGATATAGTAGCGCTGTGAAAGAAAGGACACGAATTATGCTATTAATTCGTAGCAAGTGGAATATATGTGAAAACCTAAGAGAAAATTAAACGTGGTAGAAGTGTTAAAAATGTATAAACAGACAAGTATGTTTAAATAGGTTGTATAACATTGTCAGTAAGTAGTAGAGTTGAATGACTAATTATTCTCGTTTCAGTATGCTTGACAAGAGAATACCTGACTGTTCGCTTAAGTGATGACACTTTTCCAAAAGTTACATAATGCAATTTGAATTGTAAGAATTAGATTCATCATCATCTCAATATGACGACAGTTTTTAAAGATGAGCTGACCCAAGACCTATGCGCGAAATATGATTTATAAATTTACTTCTAGAAAAAGCAGAGGGTGAGCGAGATTTCTCACTGGCATTTACTGATTTCTTGGGCAAATTATTTATTACACAGTTAGCACAATAGTAACAACAGTAAGGTAAAGTTGTTAGTCATGCTAAAGTGTATCCCGCTTCATAACAGCTTTACGTATATAACATTTAGTAGGCGGCGAAAAATTCAAGACCATAGAACTACTCATCTTATAAAATTTCAACGCATGAGCAATTTCTCACCTACCTTTTCCCTTAGTTTGAATATTAGAGCATACCAAAATGCCTGAATATGGAGGAATTTTCTCAAAGAATCTAAAAAAAAATAACATTTGACAATTTAAAGTTACAATATAGGGAAATTAACTAAACGTTTACAGCACAATATTAATCATCACATCACTTATTTTTACCTACAGATATCGAAATTCACAGGCTAGGAACTTTAAATAATCAGTATCACCCAAAAACAGAGCATAATAGTGTACACTGATCAAGTCTGTAAGTGGTGAATATCCTACTATTCCAGTTTCCGGTATATGTCTTATCATGCTTTCCTTTGTTGCTTCATCAGCGATTCTCTTTAGCCATGATGATACACCAAAGTGAGACTAATGGAAAAGATGTACTAATGTGCCATATTCTACAAGTATCATTTTTCCTGAACAAGCTCAGATAAGACTTCTGTCCAAAACAATGGAATCATTTAGTTTCAAACACGCTGCGGCTTACGCAAATACAAACTGTTTCTAATGTCAACCTTTTACTCAGCGCCCATTACTTCCGATACTATTCAGTCAAACCTTGATCACAGTTCATATAAAATATCATTCAGTTGTTTTGCAATTACTCTACCGTTGCACAAAATAAAGTTAAGTGGTTACAAAACTTCCAATAAACTTTATGGATGACTTAGAGAGACTCTAAATCAAGTGAAACTTGAAAACACTGTTTAACCAATAGCATTAAATGAAGGAAAAAGTGTTGGTAATTAACTGTAAAAGACCTCTCTCACGCAGTCTGAACTGATGAATGTACTCTATATGATCTATAAGTGACGACGCTATGCAACTAAGTTAAACAACTGACCTTCAGAAATACACCTGACAGTTTTACATACATTTCACCCTACGACTTTACACTGCTGTGTTTGATTCAAAAAGCATCCTTAGAGAATCTAGGTGTGTGCGTAACTCACTGACGGTTACGTTGAAGAAAACCTGAAAAACAATTGCAAGTATGACATTTTAATTTCCAGTTGACATTTCAACGATATGCCGGATTATTTCAACATCTCTATTTCAGAAAAAAAATGATCTATATGGAACTTTTAGAACCCATACTCTAACCTGCCTCCGATGGCATTATAAATTAACTTATCACGAAGTTCAGATATGCATAATCTTTGGTCAAAGTCATGTGCAGTATCTAAATACGATAAATAAAAAGCAAATGTGGTTTCACTGAGAATTTTCGTAAAAAAAGGTGATAATTTGGTGATGCATCAACGGATAGAAAAATTACTAGACGTAATTTACCATTCCTTAAATGTTGCTGAACAGTTTGATTAAAAACACCAAACATAAACGAGAATAACGTAGCGTAAAACCGAGCAAGCAATTCAACGCAGAAACGAGTACAATGATACATGAAAATAGACAGGAAGTATTTTAGACAAAGGATATGATTGATAACAAGCTGGGTTAGTTAGAACTCTGACATCTCGGGTCATTGGCATGTAACATGTTCGTGAGGCACATACAGAATTCACAAATGCTCGTTTGCTTAACATCACTCCACCAATATGGCGAATTTGCAAATCTGCCATTCGAGTTTCCGAAGACTCAGTGGCTATTTTTCGTGGTCTTGCAAGTGTAGGTATGGTGTCAAATCCTAAGGTGGAAAGCGTGCTGCTGAACTAGATAGCACTTAACAGTTCACCCTTCGACTCAGAAGTGGAACCTATAGTTGTCTCTTAGTAATCTCTAATTACGCACCTACTAACAAAAGATCGCATGAAGTGATAGATGAGCTCCACAGAAAACTCGCTCACCATCTAGCGAAAACCAAACATTCAAGTGTGGAAGTTAAAGCGGCTGCGACAACGGAGGAAAGCGGTTTTGCAATCCCAGCAGGATATACGGATAAAAGCAATCACCTGCTACAACTGTACTCACACAACCGTCTATTTCTCGACACCACGAACTTCAGGCATAAAAAGGGAGACTGTTCGAAATAGTATCAACCAAACTCAACTCAACAGTGGATACAGATAGACAAAACTACTATCAGTTATCGTTGTAGTGGTTCAGTGGAAGATTAACAACACTCCCGGGACGCAAATATGAGAAGCGATCACGCATTGGTACAAACACGCGTATTTCTGCGCCTAAATAAACGCAGAAAAACTACAGATAATAGACCATTTGGAGTGCAACTCAATGATGAAAGTACGATGGCTCCTTTCCAAACCGAAGTGACTAGACAGTTATTGCAACAGGAGAACGTCAATTGTCTTTCTTCTTGCATTGTTCAAATTGTCGAAAAAGCCTGGCAACAACTCCAGTTTGCCATAAAAACAACGAAGTGAGTAATATAGTCTCAGAAAAAAAACGTCAATGATTGGCGGTTAAATACTGACATAAAAAACACATGAGGTAAGAACTACAAGCACACGTAAACACAAACCACGATCGGAAACTCATACACATCAAACTTATAACACTACACTACACATGGCCATCATCTGTCTTAACAATTCGACAACCCACAATTCTCCAACAAGAAAACACGAACAGAGTTATCAAGTATAAACATGGATATTTCAAATTACGGCTTACTCAACTTTGATAAATCCATTAGAATTAATTAAACAGCGAGACAACCTTCTTCCTTTCTAACTTCACGAATAAATACTAGCACAAAACAATGAAGTAATATACAACGCACGGGGATCGGACAGGATCATCTTAAAAATCCTAATCCCAAAATTAAAAAGTCTCCTAAAGGAGTTCAATCCCCCGATAATAATCGCATGAAGAATGAGTCCGACGAACACAGACTAAAATGACATAGTCCAATTAAGTGAGGTCACTGACAAAATCCATTCTCATGGATACCTACAGTGAGAATATTTGAAATACGTTTATCACCAGCCAGACAGCACGGCTCCCGTCAATACCTCGTCTCACTATAATCACTGGAATGATTCAGCATCTTGACCACTTCACACACACACACACACACACACACACACACCACCACCACCACCATCATAACCACCACGTCCGAAGTCAAACAAGACCTGATATACACCAGCATTCAACAAAATCTTACCACAAACACAAAAACCTCGATTGCTTTTCAACAACCTTAACCATCTATGACACCACCATCATTTCCCATCCTCGAATAACTGCAGACTGTACAGAACAGCAGTTCCTTCCATTCTACTCCATGAAACCAAAAAATAACAAACAAAGGTAGATGACACGGCAACACTTCATATCCTCAATCACCGTTCCCTTCGTAACATTCCCATGTGTCAGACAACCACCAAGTCAGTTGTGTATAAGTCGGGTGTAGAATTTCAGGTGAAAAAGGAAACCACTTGATGCAGATGGATCACTTTGTAAATCCTCATCAAATCACTCAGATGGCTCACACATACGTTACGCATATCTGCCTAGTCAACATTCCCTACCTCATCCAATACAAACTCAAGTAGGTCAGTGCTACAACATAACACCAATCCATCAACACAAAGTCTCTGCTTGTTAGTTTGACCCACCCGTCTACGGAAAATCTAAGCTGTTGCATTGGGGTGCGAGTGACAACTGAAATCCGTAGTTGTGCACAATCTCATACATACGGCTCACAGTCGATTCGAGAGATGAAGATGCATCCACGCTATTTTATCCTAATTCCTAGAGATGAATACAATCGTTGATCTATTGTTTCTTCCCAATAATTTTGATCACTTCCTTATCTATCTTTTGATTTCATGTTCTCTACCCTGATGTGATGATATGAAGTTTGGTAACTGGATGTGTTATCCAATAGTTTCAGATTCCATGTTGATATTAACTGACTGATGATAATTGTAGGTATTCCAAGTGAAAAGTGCAGTTAGGTCAATTTAGGTATATTTAAACGGTAAAGCGTACTAGTGAACAATGCGATGAAGCTGGGTTTTTTTTAGGGCCAAACTGTGTAGGTAATTGTTTGGTAGGTCCTGTGTTGTTTAGGGCTGATGAAGGATGATTCAGTAATGACGAATTTAAGTTTAATCAGTATAGGATACCTTTTCCTGTGAAATCACTGTGGAATAGAATTTCTGAAAAGACACCATTCAGTAAGACCGTTTTTGTTGTACTGTTTTTTCTGTTGTTTTTCTTCTACACAGAGAAAGTGTCTAAAGTATCGAAGGTGGGAAAATTGTGTGAGTTAACTTCAAAGTGATGTATTCAACATTTTGCAATAGGACTTGGAACAAAAGTTGAAAACTACACAGACTGTTGTCTTCTTGGTTGGGTTGGCTTTCGTTTAGTTCCAGTTTGATGTTAATTCAGTCAACATGGAACATCGAGGTGAAAGGTGACTGTGCATTTGCAGCACATCCAAGCAGCTTTAGTTGGTGGAGTTTATAAGCTCATTTGCCTGCTTTACTTAGTATCCTTCAAATGATCAGTTTTCTTTATGCATGCCAGCAATACTACGCATCTACTTATGACAATACTTGCGACCTCTACATGTTCTCCACAATCAACGTTCATATCATTTAGGCATCAGATCAATTCCTGAGGTCTCGTTAATAGGTAGAGTATACAGTACATAGCAAAATTAATCAGAAATTATGACAGCGAAAATAGACGGTAGACGTACCAAACAATACTCTCCGTAAGCTTCTACACAGTTATTTGAGCTCAAGTAGAGAACCTTGATAGGCGTATTATTTTTTCAATGGAGTTTATACACAGACAAATATTGCCACATTACCTTTGAGTAGAAGCACTTGAATCATTTTCCCAGATAGATAAATAATTCGAGTTGAATACCGGAAGTGGGCGTATTTCAGAAACTTCAACGAATAAGTGTTTCATCATTACACCCTAATTCAGTCCTGTAACTTGTCTCACTTTTTGTGGTTTGTTATTTCTGACCTCCTTTTGGTCACCGAATAACTACAGACCTGAGGGTATTAGACACGAATCTAGCCAAGAGGATTCTCGTGTAGGTATCACAGGAGGTTTTCACTCTTTTCTTATAAACGGGAATGACTAACGATCTAGACCAGTGTTACAGGATGATCGCTGACTCTAGTATACCAGTTAGCACTTCACTTCAACAAATAATTCTTGACCATGATGTCAAAAACTTGCTAGAGGCACACCATCAGTTGCTACTCACCCTTTCAATTCAAGTTTGAAACAGTTTCAAAAACGTAGGTGATAGTTTGAAAACTAATACGTCTCATAATATCCAGTTCATAGTTGTCATGAATATCCTAAAAGAATTTCAGCGATGAGTCTGATTTAATCATCATGTAAGTAAACTTTAATATAATCCCAGCGGGTTTAGACAATAAAAACAAGAATATTTTGCTGAAGAAGCTTTGACATACACAGTGAAACGTTCCGAGAAATCTTGTTTTGATTTTCTAAACACATTGGGGCTACATCAAAACGTACATGGATTTTATAATGCATTAAGATTAAAGTTGCCATACAACTGAACGGTTTCTCATCACACTGTTCAACGTTCTTGACACATGTTCTGACAGGTTAACGGCGAAGACATACTCTGCAATCAATCATCTTTGACTACCCAAAATCAAACATTAAACAAAAATACTCACTTCTGACAAAACTCCCAGCTGGATTCCATTGAATCAGCCCAAATAACTATCTTGCCTAACTGCTCAGTATAAAGGTTCGAAAAGTAATCTGCCCAACCGAATCCTAAAGGAAGATCAGACAACTTAGAAGAGTGGACGATTTCTTCTTTACATTTCCTCTTCAAAGATGCTTCGACTAGAAAGTCAACAACCTTCTGAAATTTGAAAATAAACAAATACGTAGACCAGCATGATGCTAGTTTTGAAATGGTGAAAATTCAATCTATTGACTTGATTCACCACCGAAAGAACTCAGATATCTTGCATGAATCCAGTGACAGTAGAAGGAAACATATTATTAAGCTAGAAAAAAATTGCATTTGATCAAGATGAAGTTAAATTCTTAGAATCTGAGGCTACATAAACAGAAAGAGGTTATTCGATACTTTACATTTGCGTTCATAATGACATACATGAAGAATGCTTTAGATGCTTTCAAGACTGCGATTTATCAAATACTCTTTCCTGTGTAATGTGAAGCCATACGGTAAGTTTACCATTACTTTTATTGATAACGATGATTATGATAATAGTAAGAATGATGCAATTTAGCAACCATATACAGGGTTATGCACTTTATTGTGAGCGTTAATAATGAAACCATATGGTTGCTCTGAACTTGGTAGATGGGGAAGTTTCTAAGTGCTAGAATCAAAAATTGATAAATCTAAATAAAGTGACTAACAACTGTTTACAATGACTGTAGAATCCTTTGCAGAAATCTGGAACCTAAACGACAAGTTGATTCTAGGACAAATGAATCAAATCCTTGGTTGACATGTAAAATCCAAAATACGATTTATCCGAAATATGGTATTCCAATATTTTAGGTACAATAAATAGTAGCAAAATTACAAAAATCCAACCATGAGGAGTCTGTATGTTTTTCACACCGTCAAGGGTATGGTTGTTGTCAAACGTGTATGACAAATAACAGCACAGAATTGTGTCAAATAACAAACCCGTTAAGTATAAAATATGCGCCACCTCGTGGGCCAAGATAAATAATATAAGACCAAAGTGTTCAAGCAATAGTACATATCTACGCGAAACTCATAGAAAATGTAACAATGAAAAAGTGAGAGAAGACGAACAAAATCACTGAAAAGAAAGCTTCCTGCACAAACATATTTTTATGAAAATCTTAATAGTCAACAAAAGATACAATTCCAAAGAATAACACTACTTATTGGTAATAAGTACCAAGAAACTTAAAGCGAAAAGAAGAGAGAATTACGGAGCAATGCAATGAAGGGCAGTGGAATTGAGGATGCGCATTCCATCTTATTTGGGACTCGTCAGCTGGATGTACCTGACTCCTAGTGAGTGATGTTGTTTCCACTGGGACTCGAACCCGGGAGCGATCGCTTCAAACGTGAGAGCGATATCCACTACACAACCGAACCACGATACCCACTTCTTGTGCGACGGGCATAGTTTTAGTGTTATTGTTTGTATTACACCGTCGTTGATTGGACAGAATTGATCAGTCTCTGTTGGCATATGGGCAGGTACATCCAGCTGACGAGTCCCAAATAGGACGAAATGCGCATCCTGGATTCCACTGCTAGCCGCTGCCTATCACTACTATACATAATTAAAACAAGCAATATCGAGGCATCCGCACAGGAGCTCATATGCCAACAGAGACTGATCAATTGGGTCCAATCAAAGACGGTGCAATACAAGCAATAACACTAATGCAATGAAGCGTCAAAAAGATTCAACCACGGTAAAGATAGATCAACTATTTGTTCTCCCGAGTCTAATACATCTATTTTATCAATAAGATATGAGGCAGTGTCTGACTTTCAGTGAGGTACGGAAAGCATGCATTATGTTACTGAACTGTATTCTTGATAAAGTTGTGCACCGTGGAGAGAATCAATTTATTGTGAATATGGTTGTAATGAATACTCATAAAATTATATTATTTAATTCTGCTGATATTTTGAGCAAAATTACTGCATATGATAACAACAACTGTTGGAATTGTTCGTCGCACAATCCCACCTGGAGTAGTTTATGCTCCAAAAGACTTGGCATGGTCAGACTAGAACATCACACCAATCCATCAAGATGAAAACTCCGGTTGTTGACTAGACCCACCAGTGTAAGAGAAAAGTAAACTTTCTCGTTGGTGTTCTAGTGATAACTGAAATTGATAGTTGTAGACAATGTAATACAGCCCACAATCGATCTGAGGGGTGCAGATGTCTCCATGCATTATCTCTATCTTGATCATCCTACTGAATTTCAGCGTTCTCTCATTCCTCCTCGCCTTCTTTTGATGAACGTTTATGACTTTTATCTACTTTCTTCCTTATTTCTTTATGTTTCCTCCCAGGGAATTCTCGCTTGATGTGCTGATATGAAATGTGGCAACTTGGACCGCCACGAAGTAATCCCAGGTCCCATGTTGATATTCTCTGTTTGTCTGGCTTTTTTGGTTTAGCTGTGCCCGATAACTGTACAGCGATGACGGCTAAAATTGGGGTAAAGCTTGAATAGTTATTGTAATCGGATTAACTCGTTGAAGATTAATGGTCTGACACCTTACAGATCGAACTGCAGGGCAAACCACTAATTAGGTATCGATTTCAGTTTAGTCCACAAGTATCATGCTTAACAGCTTCACGGACGAAAAACATACATCTATTTATCCTTTATCATGGTAAATTTCCCTATCAAAATTAAAATTCAACAAATTGAGATGAAGCGAAAAACCGATGCATTATTAACTCAGTTGACTCAGTTGATAGAGTACTGGACTGGTAAATTAGTTGGTTGCTTTGAGTTCTGAAATGATTCAAAATTTCTTAAACTTTAGTCGACATTATCAATGTGCATTGGAAACTTCTGTCGACTATTTATACTCGAAAATATTAAGCCGAAGAAATCAATAAACTGTAGCATACATGTACTTCTTCAGAAAAAAACGTGAACCTACCTGTTTCGATGAATCTGTGGTATAGCAATAGACAGTACTCGGGTCAGGAAAATGCACTGGAGATAGGCTACCAGATAGTGAATTATCACACTGTACCCCAAGAAGATTTAAAGCATTTTTCAGTTGGTTGATTCGGCTCTTAAGCAATCAGTCTAAAAAGGAGAAAATGTTTTATGAAACGGGTAGTAAAATTTGCCTTTGGATATTATTTAAATATTAAGTGAATTACCAGTTCAAATAGTGTTCAATTGCTGATTACTGAGATATGTAATTATCTATCACGTATTCATGCCGGACCTCTTGTCAGAGGTTCGATAGTCGCCCTAGAAACACATCGAGTTGTTGATTAATTCATGTTTTAGTACCAGGGATTTCTACCGGTCTAATCAGATGGCTTTACACAAACAAGGGTGTACAGGTGAGACGCTTGTTTGTTGACTGAACTATTCGACGCAAAAAAACACCATCAGCAACTGCCCACCAAGTTTACTATGTTTTCAACTTTTTACTGTGCAAACATTTATGAAGCTACCAAGTCATCCCCTTATATCCAGGTGCTATAAAGAAGCACATCCTGTCCGCAATATAATGCAAACTGTTGAATGTTAAATAGAGTATAAACAGTTTTTTTCACGCAATGAGATGGAGGTACATTCAGCTTCCAAGCCTCAAACAGAACAAGACGCGCATCCTAGATGTTACTGTTGGTCACCATTAAGAAAGTTCTCAGAGCAAAGTTTGGTGTGTGGAGATAATGACGAAAATCATAACTTGGTTTTAGCTTGAGATGCCGATACTAGAGATCCCTACAACATACTTGCAGTTACAAAAACTAGAGACTACAGAAGTTATAATGTAACTCATATTCCCAAGAATTACATGCAGTAACTACATGAACAAGAAACACACGGCCTTTTGTGTTTCATAACTCTAGGAACCCATCATCTAGCCTTTTGATCTATATTCGAACACAACATTGGGTTTTGCATGAAGATGGAACACATTCAAAACATTCTACACTATGCATATGAATGGATCTCGACCCTCCCCAAGTATGGAAACACAGACACACTTACAGCCACCGAACAATAGCCACATTTCTTAAACTGAATGCGGTCTTCAACACCCTCAATCACCGCAGTCTTCTCGGAGATGTCTCTCACCAAATACGATGCTCAGTAAAAAAATCACTCTGTTTAATACTCTGCATCTCAACACCAGTGTGCACATCTCGAGCGAAAAAATTGAGTGCACTACCATCAAATGTCGTCCCAAACATTTGAGCAAATACAAACACATATATATAACAAGCATGTATGTCACACCTGACTGCAGTTTCTCAGATCTGTCAACTTTTGCTGATAAATTCACTGAATTTTCTGCTCCAGTTCTGGGAAACTCCTTGTTTATTGTCTATGGTGATTTTAACTCATGTGACTACATTTTCTATTATCATTGGGTCATAAAAATATGGTTAACTTTTCCACTCGTCTTGAAAACTCTAGACTTTGCATTTACAAATGAACCTGGCATATATGAAGCCCGTAAACGGGCTCCACTGCTAAATCCCGACCACTGTATTCTTCGTCTTTTGCCTAAAGTGTACGGCAAATTATACAAGAAAGCTTTTGCATACCTTTCAAGGAAAGTTCAATACAGATGCTATTCTCAAGAAAATATATTACGTCTGAGAAGCATGCTTATAGAAACGGACTGGGATATATTTGCTGATGAAGTTTTAGACAACACTATCACCAATATCACAAGCTATCTCAGATTCTGTCTCGATATCTGCTGCCCTGCTGAAACAATTTACATGAGATTTGACAGACTTTCGTCTCCTCATCTCAAGAGGCTCCGAAGAGAAAAGGAAAGGTTGTATAAGGCGAGAGATCACCCTGGCGTTGAAAGGCTTAACTGCCCAATTAAGTCTGAAATACAACGTCTGAATACTATATACAACGAGAAGTTCTTATCGTGTAAGAACTCTTCCAAATATGGAAATTATTTAAAGAGCTTACTGGTAAAAAACAGATAACAAAAGAAACTCTTTCGGATGTCTGTGCGTTAAACAAGTCATTTATACGTCGGTAGGCTAATTTCACTCTTCCTATTGTCCAAAGTCAAGTGGATAGCTGCTTTCCAGGTTTCAATACAAATGATGTATTTAAATGTCTAAAGCCTTTGAATCCCTCCCAAAGCTTAGGTCCTGATGGCATTTCTAGTATTATATTTAGAAAATGTGCAGATATTTTATGTCATCACTTCACAGATATCTTCTATGCATCGTTTTCTAAAAGCATAATATCCACTGTTTGGAGGCAGATAAAAATTGTACCTGTGCCTAAGCCATCTTCTGGATCAGGTGTTACTTTTCGACCCATCGCTATAACTTCCCCTTTTCTGAAGACAATGGAGAAATTACTTCTGCTTGTGATTGAGCCTTCATTGATGGCTTTCAGAGATCCAAAACAGTTTGCTTACAAACACCGGAGGAGTACTTTAGATTCTGCCACTGTCTTGCATCATAATATTGTTTCTAGTCTCGACAAAGGTGCTAAGTATGTTCGTTGTGCCTTTTCGGATTACTCATCAGCCTTTGACTCTGTTCCTAGACCACTTTTGTTAAATAAGCTTGTCATAACTCACACTGACCCATGGGTTACAAAGTGGCTGCATTCTTATTTTTCTGAAAGGAAACAGTACACTATTCATTAAGGGAAGCGCTCGACTTCATTGCTTACTGAAGCTGGAGTGCCTCAAGGTGCTGTACTTTCTCCTTTTCTGTTTTCCTTTTTTTGCACTATTTGCCTTATTCTGTTGAAACTAATTTTATCAAGCATGCTGATGACCTGACGGTTTCTATTCCAGTTAACTCTTTTTTTGGATTGCTCTAAATTAAATGAATTCTTGTCTGAAGTTGGTAAATGGTCCCTCTCAAATGGTCTCAAACTAAACCCTTCTAAATGTCAGACTATTAATTTTAGCCTCAGGCGTAAACAAGACTTATATGAGCTGCTTAAATCTCATGACGCCTGTTACATAAGTGGTATTTCTGCAGAAAGTAAATTCAGTATGAACTATTTTGGGTTGGGTTTTACTTCTGACCTTCGCCGGTCATCCCATATTTTGTTGACTTGTAAAAAACCTTTCGTTTAACCTATTACATAAAGAAACTGAGGCTTTCTCGTATAACTCAACTGCTTTCTTTACAATTTATTAATTCCTGCATTTTATCTATTCTTCTATATTGTTCCCCATTAATCTTTCCTGGTCTCCTAAAAAAGGACAGTTATGTTGTGTAGGGCTTTGAAGGCCGTCAGCAGGGTGATTGGTGTGTCCCTGGCTCAACTGATTAACACTGTAGTTGATAGACATATAAATTCCTGCAAGCGACTAGCTACAGAAATTTTAACTGACAGTGAGCATCCACTTCATTCATAGCTCTCTCCATGTATCTCCTCAGGGAGGACAAGCAGAAACTACATAAGACTGTACGCTTGTACAGCTAAGTATAAGAATTCTACTGTACCTTACCTGACACGCATATTTTGTGAGAAAAAAAGTGTTAGAACACAAATCACACATCAACTTTGTAACAGTTAAAAATCCCACTTCAACAATTCAACTAACAATGTGAAATTTCCTCGTTTTTAATATTCATCACATCACTTAAATTTCTATAATAAAACAATTCAGAATGTTGTAAAGGAGTATGTATATACTTATATTTTGTTGTTGTTGCAATATATTATGCTGAGAATTCCAAATTGTATCACAAATTGTTTGGAATAAAGTGAATCACTATCATTATCATTATTTTTATTATTAAAATCAATTGATGAGCTTTCAGATGATTTGTAAACGTCAAGTGGAGTCTTCCAAAAATGACCGTCCTTTCCATTCTTAGTCCACTTCGTCAAAGACGGGAGCATGGATGTCTCTCTCTCCTCATTCGAATCTAAGACGATTGAACTGGTCAAACAAGACTAAGATGGCATAGTCCAATTAAGTGAGGTCACTGACAAAATCCATTCTCATGGATACCTACAGTGAGAATATTTGAAATACGTTTATCACCAGCCAGACAGCACGGCTCCCGTCAATACCTCGTCTCACTATAATCACTGGAATGATTCAGCATCTTGACCACTTCACACACACACACACACACACACACACACACACACCACCACCACCACCATCATAACCACCACGTCCGAAGTCAAACAAGACCTGATATACACCAGCATTCAACAAAATCTTACCACAAACACAAAAACCTCGATTGCTTTTCAACAACCTTAACCATCTATGACACCACCATCATTTCCCATCCTCGAATAACTGCAGACTGTACAGAACAGCAGTTCCTTCCATTCTACTCCATGAAACCAAAAAATAACAAACAAAGGTAGATGACACGGCAACACTTCATATCCTCAATCACCGTTCCCTTCGTAACATTCCCATGTGTCAGACAACCACCAAGTCAGTTGTGTATAAGTCGGGTGTAGAATTTCAGGTGAAAAAGGAAACCACTTGATGCAGATGGATCACTTTGTAAATCCTCATCAAATCACTCAGATGGCTCACACATACGTTACGCATATCTGCCTAGTCAACATTCCCTACCTCACCCAATACAAACTCAAGTAGGTCAGTGCTACAACATAACACCAATCCATCAACACAAAGTCTCTGCTTGTTAGTTTGACCCACCCGTCTACGGAAAATCTAAGCTGTTGCATTGGGGTGCGAGTGACAACTGAAATCCGTAGTTGTGCACAATCTCATACATACGGCTCACAGTCGATCTGAGAGATGAAGATGCATCCACGCTATCCTTTGTTTCATGATTTAATGAATGAATAGTTTTCGCCATGTCAAATCAAAGGCATAATATACCAATGCAAGTAAAGGAAACAGCAAGACTTGTATGTGATTATTTGTTTAAGCCTTGGAAACAAGAACGGGTTACATAAGTATATTTTGAATTTTTGAACATTTTTAAGTAATCAGACTGTCTAGAAAAAAGTATCTGGCGTGTACTATTATTTCTTACAGGAAAAAGACACTATCTCAAAGTCATTGACGAAACCGACCATGCATGTCACCAATATGGTGTTTAAATGCCTACAGGATGGATAGTATAATACGCAGTAGTGCGTTCTGTCCATTCCATGTCGTTAAAGATTAATAAAATAGGTTTCTCAACGCTGTTAAAATATGATAGATTCGCTGAGTGTGCGATGATTAGTTATTAGAAATAACCCAGTTGGTGTAAATATGTACCTAAGTCAATACTTACCCTTGGATAAATTTCTTTCTGTTTGTGCTCCTTCCAAGTGTTTCGATTCAAATCGGTAACCTTTTGCAAAACTGCTGTTACATTTTTCAGTTTGCCGAGTGAAACTCCATACGGAAACTATGATATTTGAAGATGAGTCAGTACCAATGCTTATCTTATAATATACTGCAAACTTGACGTCAATCGTTCCCCAAAAATGAACCCCTCAAAAACAACTTGATTTAACTCGACCGAAATTTATAAAGGATCTACTTACTGCAAGTCGTAAAATAATCAAAAAACTAGATTTTAACTCACAGTAAGAACAGCTATTGCAGGCCGACTTTGGTTTATTTCATCCACGTTACTGTCTTGGTCCTTTAAATGATATCCACCAATTAAGACTGAGTTTTTATGCATCCATTTCCAGGGTGAGTCACTGTCTTCAGACAGACTAACCACACAATCATTTGTAGGTGTTGCGTGATGTACCAGGCTCTGCGGAGGGTAACTGTAGACGTCAACTGTGTTCAGAAACAACAAAAAACGCCCACCATTTGCTATGTACTCAGTGACCTGCCAAATTAAAACGTATTAGATGGAATTTGATAGTTACATGAAGCAGTACCACTAAAGAAACTGAATAAATAGTTTCAGAATTATTTGGTTATGGTTGGCAGAGGAAAGTAGAAAGCACTTTTTCCTAGCTGTCACAGTTGACTGATGCACAAACCAGTGTATCGGTGTTTCCAATGGAATTCGAACTCAGAGTCCATTGTTTTAAACGTCAGAATGTTATTCATCTAGCTACTTGTGAAATGGGCATTTACTCGTTATTCTGGAATTGAGTTGATAAACCTCTATTGGCATATATGTAGGGAACCTTCGAAATATACTTCCTGTGTACTAACCCTGATTAGAAAAATGCACCCGCAACATCAAGGAAACTAATGTTCCCCAGTAAAAATAAAATTCGAAGCAGTTTAGGACGTTTACATTGAATCAGTTATTTACGGACAAAAAAACATATTACTTTTACAAACACCAAAAACCACAAGTATAACGAAAGTGTAAGTTACACAGGTAACGAATTATTATTACCCTTGTATTGTACATATTTCTGCAAAAAGGATAATGTTTGAACAATATGCTTAGATGGTTTTTATGGTACTGTTACTGAATGTAGGTAATATTACAAATGGTAGTGGTCAAATACAGATGATTGCCCAAAATACTCAGTTTCCTGATTTTAGACTTCAAAAAAGTTCACATGTAGAAGCGTTTTACGCATTTTATAGTAACTGTACAACAACTGGTCTCAGATTGAGATGACATAAATATGGATAGTGATCATCTACAACATTTTTCTGAGGAACTTGTTTGTTATTGGAGAGTAGAACTGTGACTCAACGGTCTTCGCATTCAACTTTTAACCAGTGAGTCACAGGGTCAAAACCACTCCAGTGACCGAGTTCTAGGTAACCAAATAATATCATTGAACCTCATACAATAGGCGTACTTTATTATCGAATGCATGAACATATACATAGTTGCTGAGAAAGTTTGTCTTAAGTATTTCTCAGTGATCTTATACCAAGACATCATAGTTTGAAAGCTCATGATAGACATATTTCCTCCCATACAACATTTCTCAATGCACACAACATATTTTACCCGAAAATTTGTAAACAATTGTCAATAACAGAAAGAAATGATGAAATTAGACAACTATGTTAAATCACATTGCGAGCTAAAAACCTGACTGCACACGCAAACATTTCCTTAACGTTTTGAATGAAAATTTCAAGACTATCTCAGATTATGGATAGTTTTATCCAAACGACTGCAGATAACTACGATGATGATGACTGTCTATCAGAAGTGATTTCTAGAAATGGGTGATCAGTCGGTTTTATCTGCAACTGAACTTTGAAAAACTCAACTAAATCTCAGACCGTCATTATCAATTGCTACAACAGAAGTTTAAATTTTCAAAGCTTGGTCTTATATAAAGCTTTATAACTTGCAGCTTCATCTGAACCTTATGAGGTATGGTACTTTGCCTGAATACTTTATTTGACGCAAAACTATATTCCGAAATAAAAGTGGAGCGGGATTGGAGCTCATTGGTTTAGGTACTTAACTTGCAACGGGTTGGTCGCGGTTTCGGCCTCTCCATTGAAGCATGAGCAGCTAGGTTGTATCATTTTCTTTTATGATACGAACATATTATAGCCAGCTACATAAAATTCCATGTCGATACTGAGCGGCAGTTTTAACTGGTGAAGGGAATCAAACTTTCTGAAGGTTACTTGTACATAGGATTCATTCCGCTGTTACGAAGTCTCTCGTTGTTAATTGGTTAGATGAGCTACAACAATTACCGATAACCAACGGATATGAATACTTATTCAACTTATTGTGCACATTGTATGATCCAGCTTGCAGTGACACAGCATGCAGTGGAGTAGTCTGCTTTGTCTTGTTATGTGGTTGTGAGATATGGTTTTTGAAAATAAAAGATATGAGGTTACGAATTTTGATCATAGGTGCAGCTGTGGATCATTGATCTGGGCATTCGTCTTTCAACCAGTGATATATGGGTTCGTAGACAACTCCACCTACCAAGGTCTGGGTAATCAGGTAGTATCATTAGCTCTAACACAATAGGTATGCCCCATTATTTAATGCATAAACACGCAAGCGGTTGCTTAGAGTTATTTTTTTAATACCTTTTAGTCTTTGTGGAACTACTTAAAGGTGGTGGGATCAATGTGTGGGAAATGTATAGGTTAGGTGTACAGCATTAAGCAAGGAAAGTAAGTCAGTTGCTGAGGCTGTGAAAATTCATTGACTTGGATTTATGTGGTGCAATACCGACTTCTCACCTGCCTTGACAACCGATGTTATTCCAAGTAGGATTAGGATGGAATATACCTCAGGGTAGCTCAGCCAAGACTGGATCAGCCTATATAGTCTTCGAATGTTGATTTCAGCCTTCTAGTTACCCGTCTGGGGTCCTCAAGATGATAGGAATTAATGGTTGCATAATCTAGGTGGTATCGCTCAAAATCGACCAAACTGGAGCAGATTTATACACTGCTATTTTCAGTGTCCGGAACACTCCATTAGCCTTTATCGTATCTACTCTTTCTCCTTTCATACACTTTTGCTTTTTTTTCTATTCACTTCTTCGCACGCCACTGTAAAGTGCGGCAACTTGTACTAATGCACTTCGTGTACTATTTTATGCTGATTCTTTTGTTTATCTGTTACACAGAACGACTGGTTGACTGACAAAATCAACGTAGAACCTCGCACAGAGGTGCATCAGCTCAAGTTGCCACACTTCACAGTAGTAGGCAAAGAACAGATGGATAGAAAAAGAATGATATCAAAGAAGATAAAGTAATGTGAGAGGATACACAAGGACAACAACTTAAGAGAGAATTAGGTATACTACTCCTTACAAGCGATATTAACTTAGAAACAATGGCCAGCAACATTTTGAGGGGCTACGGCTTATTAGTTTGGGTAGTCAACATTTAGTCAGTGAGTCACCAGTTCGAATACCGCTTTGTCTACCAGGGCTGAGGCAGCCTGGTAGTACCATGATTCTTTACACATATACGTAGCTCATTATCTACTGCACGAGTGTCCACGCGGGGTTGCTGTGAGCATTCCGTTTTTTTTCGACCAGTAAATTTCTGAAATAAGAAAAACGCTTTATTGACTACTCTCATGAACGGTAGTTAAATTCAATGTAGAAGCAATCCAATCAGGTCACCTTGATATCCATACATCACATGCAGTTTTGATTAGAAGTACTACAATAGAAACGCATGATATTGTTCAGAAAAGTGTTAAATCAGCTTGCTACCCTACTGCTGTCTGAATCCTTACAATTCTTTCTAAAGTCACAGTTCAGTTCACTCTACACAACCAGCAGCTTATTATAGTGTAATCCGCTCAAACGTAGGTCTTAAAGAAAAAAGAAAATGTGCTGTATTACACAATTTAAAGAAGTGTTAGCCCAACGGAGGTTGTAAACTGTTCAGAGTAACAACAAGTATCCATTTTCAAACCTGAAACTAATGAGGCTCTGTTGACCTTAAAAAATTCTTGTCACTTAAATGCGTTTTCTGCATTTAGTTCTTTAATAAGTATGACGAATTTATTTAGTAACTGTGATGAATAAGTGGGTGAGAAAGAGTGATGATAAAGTAGACAATGATTGATAGAAAAATGAAATTGAAAACGAAGGCTAATGAGAATGTTCAAGACCTTGAAGATTTGAAAGAGTGAAAACATCAGCCATATCACAAAGAGTCATCACCCATCAATTGCTATGATCTCGAGAACCTTGATCAGATGAACTACACTTCATTCCAGACAGACCAATAGTCAGAGGCTTCATGGACTGGTGCTACATCATATTATGGTCACAGTGAGCCTTCTTCCATTCCAATTCTAATTCAGGTAACATTGTACGTCAAGGTTGGTGGCGACTGAGCATGCGCAAAATACGTGCCAATCACCCCACCAGTGAAAGTTCACAAATTCATCAACCTATTTGTCTTCCTTGCCAAGTACCCTCAGTCTAACCACGACATTGCTCACCGTCTGCTTCCACCACACGCGAGCGATGCTGAGAAGACACAAGTGGTCTTTTCATACCATCTTTCCCCTAGGACCATTTTTCATAGTTGCATAACAGGATAGAGGAAGACAGAACAGTTTATTCACCCTTCAATAGATATTTGGATGTAATTGTGGTGACATAAATACCGTAGGTTGGAGAAAACCGTACGACAATTTCGCATTCCAGCAGAGATTTCGTCGGATACTGATGAATCAGGGCTGGTCTGACTTTTCAGGGAAGTAAAACGGCCAATGCTCTCAACAATTTTACTCCAGTGAAGATCAGTGCTGCAGTGACATATATAATTTGAGTCCAGAAATGCATCCAAAAAATCCTATGTGGTCGGAAGACTGCATCTTAGCAGTCATCACTCAGTTGAACTGTGCCATCTGAGTACTCCAAATCAGCCAAGGAGTCTCCTATGACAAGATAAATCCATGCAAACTCAGACGATAAAAGGAAGACCTTCATACATACTTCTATGATAAAGTTAAATAAGAGTGTAGAAAGTGAACATCGTTGGCGGACATAACTCGACGCAAAAAGATCACCTTATTGATGACTCACCATAGCCTGTAGTACGCTCACGTGCGTTCGAATACAGAGCCCCGACACCCCTTTTGGTGAAAGACTAACAGAAGACCACTCGATCGATAGAGTCTAATGGTACCTTTAGGTCGAGAAATTCAGCTATTGTCGGTCGTCGGTAGGTGTACCTGTGTTCCAGAACCCGTAGAATTGCGGATATCTGCTCAATACACTTATGACCAATTCTGAAGCTTGCCTAGTGTTTTTCGGTTTACCACTTTCAAACCCCAGCTAGACATCTAGTAATTACAGAACCTAGAATCTCAGACACTATGTTCATCAGGTTGATCCACTTGTGGTTGTCACAAGAGCATTTCTCCCTCCCTTGGAGACTGGCACAATCGGTGATTGGGACCAGTCAGTAGGAATTATATCTGATCCCCATACACTGGCTAACATATCAGTTAATCTGACCAATAATCCTCGACCACCTTCTTAGATACCTCCAGCACTAGTCTCTCTGACTCTGTCGCCTTCCATTGTTTCAGGTTAGTCACAAATTTCTCGACTTCTGAGGCTGTTGGAAATCCTACCTCGATGTACCGTTCAGGATTCAACTGGATAGGCAACAATGGAATATTAGCTGGAGACTGGTTGAACTGTTCGTCGAAGTGTTCAACCTATCGTTTCAATCATTTGCCCTGAGAGTGAATCGCAGATCAATCCCTCACCACTTTGATGTCACTAACTATTGACTTTCCAACCCCAGTTTGCGTGATAATCCTAAATGGCTGTCTACTGTAACTCATCGCCACTACCCTTTTCATCTCTTTAGCTTTCGCTACTCACCACTTCTCGTGGTCATTGCGTAGACCTCTTGCCAACCTACATTTAAGTTGCTTCAGCTCTTCATTGTGCTCCAAGCCAGCAGAAATGCATTCACGTATGTCTTGGTTGTGTTAGTAATTTGGTCAGTCTGTATCCACTTCTGAGTTGAGGTTGGTGTGCGCCAAATCAGACAACATCTCTCTTGATTTCTTGTTGACCAGAAATAGATGGTTATCTGGGCACAGTTTTATCAGTTACAAGGATGAGAATCCAAGACACATGTTTCATCGAAGTTGACACTGGTTAACTTCAAGTATTCCCCTCACAATAAGTGGTGTTTCTTAAGAAACTCAAACCTATGACTCATAAAACCATACGCCTTGACTTCACTTGAATTATGAGAATTTCATTATCGTACATCTTTATTCTCTTTATCCTTTTTTTGAGGGCTGATATTTTCGTTTCGAAGTGTTTGTCTCTGGTGACATTCGCTGTGCCAGTGTAAACTATGATAATACAGAGGGAAACACAGTTATCCTAGATTAAATATTGCTTTTTTCTGGTTACCTCATACACAACGCTACCTATTAGGTTACTTAGTTATTCTTAGTGCTGCAACTGTAGCTGAAGTGTAGGCCTGAATAATAATTGAAATGACGCCTAATTAAATGGATACTAGATTGAGTGCACTGCAGTCCGTTCTGTCCTATTACACATCTGTGGTGAGACATGGTCGTTGAGTGAATTCAAGGGGAGAGCCTTGATTTTTGTTACATACTAGCTCGATACTCTTCCTTCAGACTGTGACAACACTTCTTAGTTGAAAGGAAAAAAAAATCACCTTCAGGTTAAGGAACATGGTAAGTGTTGGTAGCTGGTATGTGTGGTTGTGCTCTAGGAGGATCTGTGATCAAGACTATTCCAATGGGACCAGCTTGAATTTCCGTACGTAAAATAGTGCTCTGATACTGTAGAGTAATTTTCTAGCTTCTTCCTGAAAGGCTTCTACTAGTAAACTATAAGTTCCTACTGTTTTGGATAGTTTCAGGTTAGAAACAGCCTTTTCAACTTCGTGGACAAATGGAGGACAGATATCAATGTCCCATTCAAGTTTGGGCTGGATGCTGGGTAACCCAGGGATTGATGTGAGTCAGTTGAACTGTTTCTCGGCGTTCCGCCTAACATTCTAGCCTCCTGTCCCGATGCGTTATCGGGAACCGTTCTTTTAAAGTCTCGTCACTAACCATCGTTTCCTTCTTCCTTAATAAGCCTAAATAAGAGGTCAGTATAACACAACGTTGATACTTTCTACAACTCTCGCTTTTAGTACCCACTGCCACTTACGAAAATTGTGACGACTCTTAATCAATTTACGTATAGTTTCTTTTACTCCTTATTGTAGTAACAGGAAGCTAGACTGAGTTATCCCACATCAATCAGTTCGTACGAGATTGCGAGATTGATAAGTCAGAACGAATTCAGAGACCGTTTGCACGACCCCACAGTATACAATCAGCCACATTTATTGTGCAAGGGCTAATGATAGTACCTGGTTGCTCAAATTTCAGTTGGTGGAGCGGGGTTCAAACTCATGATTCACTAGTTGGAGTTGCTAGACCAATGAGTCACAGATCACCTCTAGTTGCAAAAGTCTAAGAACAAAGTCTCAATGATTGCAAGTCTGCATCAGATTAGTCTATTTGATATACCACACAGTGATATAGTATTATTTACTAGATGACATTTCGAGTAGAATTTATTGCTCATAATCATCTCAAGGTGATATACGTTGGCCATGAAGGCTATGAGAAAAAAGCCCTTATTTTTAAGGTTAACCTGACAGCGTTTTATTCCAGCAATGAAGGGGTACTGATTGGGAACGCCAGATATAATTGAGAAACACTTAACTGCTGTCACGTTTTATTTTATTCAATGAGTACTTTAGGATGTAAAATTACCATGGGTTTTTCGTTGTGACATTGGTCTTTCTGGTCTCAACGCTTCTCAGTCGACCTTTCTCGTATGGCAGGACCCCCGAGGAAGCCGCTCCCAGAGTCGCTATGATATGAAGATGTAACCAAAGAAATATAACAGCCACGACCAGGTTGAAGTGGAATTCTTACTTTGATGCAAAAAAGCGGTTATCGGTAGAAATTTAGTGGACAAATGCTGCCTTACCTTTCATGAATAGTCAGAAACTATTGCCACTGACATGAGACTGTTGGAGAAAGAAAGCGTATAGTTTAAGAGTTACTAAGTGAGAAATTTTATTTGCAGACGGCTTTCATAATGCACGTGGCTACAATTCAAAGTAGCGAAAACTAGAGCACTTTTAGGCACCGACATTTTGTGTACAAGAATGACGACCAAAATAAACAGTAGAAACACATAGTCACACATAGTTTTTCGACTGCTTCTGCAAAGCTTATGACATCTGTAATACGTGATATGTGCCATATGGCTAAAGGAGTTGCATATCCATTTTTGATCGCAGTACGGTATCAAAAAAAGAGGTTAAGAACATGCATTCCAAAAGATTACCAAACAGAACGAAGTAACTTTCCAGGATTTATTGGTTTTGTATGGCTGATCGGTCAACATTTTATGAAGAAAGCTATTTTTTTAAACCACTGATTACACCGCTTACCAATATCAAAGTACACCAGTCATGCTAGACTTCAGCATACATAAACAAAGAGCAGATATTTTACTTATTGATTTCAACAATATATCAAGCAATAGATCTATGGTTCGAATTTGACCTTAACTACTTACACTTGGACAACAAGGTGGTATCATCAAACTTTACACATTAGATGCAAATAAAGCTTAGTACATATAGCTGTACTGAGTCGGGTTGCATTTACAAATATTTCGATGTATTTATGTGTTCAAAATAATATAAAATAAAACACCCAAATCACTAATTTTAAATACTATGTAAGGTACTTACTATTCTTAAGTCTTCCTGAAAATCTACCGAGTATGACGTACGCTCACCAGGTGCCGAAGATTCTAGTACTACCAACAGCTTTACAGAGGTAACCCACGATTCAGCCAAAAATTGTTTTCTTTGAAGAGGATATATTAAAGTAGTATTTGGTGTAATATGATCTTGGATTTGTCTAACAGTCTGACGGTAAACAGCAGCGACGGACGTAGACAGAACGTCTGCAGGTGACAATACGTAGTAAATATTAATCAAACTGGGGGAGCTGGCGTTCAACGACGCTGATTTCCTAAGTGAAGCATTTAAATGTTTGGAAAAGTGGGATACACAAAGACTGCTCCAAGTATTGGTCATCTAGGAATTCTGAATCAGAAAATTCCATTTAAGTGCTTTTCCAGAATAGTGGAGAAGCATAAGTTCATGGTATAAAATATGTTTAAACATGATTTCAAAATTATTACTACCCTACTCATCTTAGCAGCCAACACAGTTCACCAGCGAAAACAATGTAATTTAAAACGACAGCCTTTTAAGCCTATATAACTTATTCTGAATGCGCAGACCACCTATACAACCAACTCTAATGATTATCAGCACTGATTCAACGTTGCATTTCATCAGTGACTAGCTAAGATAGAATCAGAGCAGAATGGGGATATCAGATCCAACATTTGAATTGGTGGAATCATCCAAGTTAGACCTTGTGTGCGGAAAACTATATCCATGCTTAATTTATTTCACATTTTCATACACATCCAAGGGAGATTCAGTTACGTTGATGAGCATGATAAGTTCACCTGGATGCAAGGCTCAGACTGGTGAGATGATTGTTTTTCTTTTTTGATCAAATGCATTAGAGTTTAATCGTATGCATAATATGCCAATTTTCCTCCTGCGTTTCGGAACAGCATTTCTGAAACTAATTTTCCGGTTGATAAAAATATGGCATGTCATACTAATACCATCCAGATTACATATTCGTCTGGCCAAATAGAGAAAAATTAGGCCTAGCGCTGGGTCGCCAATTGGATATAGGGCCAGTGGGGCTGAATGAAAGACCAACTTAAAAAACGTCGGGCGAAATGCTTAGGGCCAGACGTAAGGCGCAAACATACACGAGCTCGTATCAGAGCGTGATCGGAATCCAAATTGGTACTCCAGAAAGAGCCACAATCTTCCACTGATCGCCATTAGAAATATAATGAAACTGTATCCATCGTTGGTTTGTTCTTCGACAACAAGTAAGAGAATGTTTCTCCTGACGAATAAAGTTAGGGCTGGCTACTAACATGTGACTGGTTGAACAAATTACAGCAGACGATTACCGTTGTCGGTTTGTTGGTGTAAGATCCTGTAAACACCTTCAACATGCCATTTCCGACTACCCCAGCTCACTTTAACTACCTGAGCGTTAAAGTCACCTGCCGTTATGATTAAATCTCAACGCTTTGCTTCATGTAGCAAAACTGACAGCTTCTCATCAAATTCATCGTTTGCATCATCTGAACTACAGTTGGTGGGACCGTACGCAGACATCACGAATAAGCATCTGCTAGTTTCACAATATTTCCTAGTTCTTATAAGTCCATTGAGTCGAACTGAACATAAACAGCTGTTGAATGGTATCCAGTAGAGTAGTGCACTTTATGCCCTTCAGCTCAACGCTATGTATACACTAGCGAGTTCACGAGGGTTAACCATTATATCTCTGCATACTTGTGAAGTGAATTTTGAAGATTCCCGCACTAGTCAAGTGAGATAAATTTAATTACCACACTCAAGTCCTGTATACATGTCTCAAAAACACAGCATACCAACATGGCTTGAAATATAGATTTTGGCGAACGATACTTGCTGTCTGATTTGGCAATGAGTTCCAACGTCGAAAGTTCCAACATGAAATCGATGGTCAGGTCTCAGGAGACTAGGAATAATGTTTTAATCGTTTGAAATGGTCACAAAATGAAAGGTTGGGAAGGTGTAAGAACTTAACATTAGTATCAGTAGGGAAGGTTAAGAAGGAGCTAGAGTTTAGGAGAATAGGTTACGTTTTATTGGGTCCTATGTATTACTGGAAATGAATATACCTCATCTATCATTGAAAGTTCGTAGTTTTATTTCCCCTAACCGGATTACTATACCGTTGTGAAAGATCTACAAAGGTAAGGTAGCCTCAAATATGTATAACAGTGATTAACAAGAAAACATCCAACAGAAGAAGCAGCACACCAGCATAGTAAGATATGACATTTCCATCCATTCAGATCAACATAAGACCAGGTATTACTGCGTAACGGTCCGAGTTGCCACAGCTCCATCAGTACACCAAGTAAAAAGCAGTGAAGTGGAAGATGAAGAAAAGAAAATTCAGTCAGAAGAAATATAAACTACTAAAAGAGATAAATGAAGGATGAGAGACATGACTTTTACCTAATGCTTGTATCATTTAGGTCGCCAGTTTGGTTTAAGGCCACTCGTGAGTAACATCTTGTGAAACTTTACGCTTCAGATCAAAACTTGAAGGGATTTATATGACTATATCACTGACAAATGCAGATGGTATTGAGACCACAAGTAATGTATTTATTTAGCTTAAAACATGCTTTAGATAAATGTTGTTACTTGTATCGAACCTTAGTGGCGACACTAGAGTTTGCTGGGAGGCAGGTACATCCAGCTGATGAGTCCCAAATAGGACGAAACATGCGTTCTGGATTCCGCTGTTAGCCACTATTCATTATTAGTCCTCTAACTTGCTTCAAGAACTTGACACCGGCTGGCAAAAGGCTCCGAAAATAAGTGCATACAAGGAAGTCCTCAGAGCACTCTGAGGGTCAACTAAGTAAATACGAGCTCGGTCTACCTATAACTTGCACAGAAGAATTAAACAATCTGGAAATGAAGATGGTAAACGAGTACAGGGAAGACTACGTAAGTTCCTAAACGAAACTTAATTATTTTACAATGTGCCACCATTTCAAAGCTAATTACTGAGGACTTGAAAATCAGCATGTAGTGTTTACTGCTATTTTATTCCAATAATACTTGATGCCAGGCCTGTTTTGAACACTTATACGCCTATCGACGTGCTATGGTAGCTTTATTTCTCGATCTGAAAGGCGGCATTCAATCGACAACTCTTATGGTAGTGTCTCATTCAAAAGGGTACAGAATAAGTACATCACCCTATTAAAGGCTCTTTACTTGAACAACTGTGGGTGTGTTAGAGCCTATAGTGAGTCGTCAGGTGAGCTGGGTACATCCAATGTTGTCTGTCGAGGATGCTTACTCTCTCCATTTCTGTTCAATTTTGCCGTAGATATTCTTTTTTAAAGTCTTCCTCCCATCCTCTGTCTGCACAGAGATTGATCTATTCATAGGAGAATCCTTGGTAGACACGGAATACGCAGATGATATAGTCCTGTTAGGTGAAAATGCTGACAAGATGCAGTCTTCTGGACAACTTGAGTGGCGATTTGAGAATGCTTACGATGCGTTTTTCGCCACCCGAATGCAAATTGATGGTCTTCAACGGTGTCCCGGTAAATAATAAAGAGTGAAGTGGTTGAGTGCGTTGAACACTTCACTTACCTGGAAATTCGGATCAGCCCTGGTGGCTCGGTGGACGACAAGATCTCTACACGGTTACAAAAGGGTCGGTTGGCTTTTGCCAACTTACACATCTGCGGTATCCAATTGTCTATTGAGGACCGAGTGTACTCAGCTATAGTCCTCTATGTCCTACTGTATGGCTCTGAAACGTGGTCATTAAAGGTAAAAGACATGAGAAGTCTTCAGGTGTTTGATCACCATTACCTTCGTAGCATAGGCCGTGTTTCCTGGAGTCACCACCTGAGTAACACGGAAGTCAGGTGTAGAATTTTAGGCAGGAAAGGTAAGTCAGTTGATGTGATTTTGAATCTTTAACTGAGACGACTGGGACATGTATTCCGTACACCTAGCCACCGTCTGCCTGGTAGTATAATGTTGGCCGAAGTAGGTTCAGGCTGGAAAACGGCTTGGGTGGACAGACTGGAACAGAATATCTATGTATGAGGTCCCTGACTGTTCGTTTGAGCCATACATGGCGATGCAGACCAGACTGTTAGGGTCCGCGAGACAAGAGGAGCCAGTGGTTGTCGACTCTAGGCGATATGACTCAGAACACATGTCAGTATTGCAGATGTATATACACATTATCTTCATCCTAACCGCTATACTGATTCTTGTCATTTTTTCCATTCCTGCCTCCTCATTTTTAATACATTCTACACTTTTTGACACGTTTTTCTCGCCATTATCTTCCATTTTATTGCCTTGTTACTTGGTGTGTTGATATGTGTGGCAAATTGGGCCGTTACACATTAATGGGTGGTTCTGTGTTGATTTTGATGATGATGAGTTTGTAGTAAATAAACAACTAAATATTTATACCATTTATAGAAGCTTTCAGGCAATTCTGCTAAATCTATGTTATTGGGGACGACTTCAAAAAGTCCTCCTGGAAAGATGCCAAATCTTGGCTTTATAATCAACGTAACGATTATCGTGGGCGAACGTATTGGTGAATAGGACACAAAGTTGTACAGTCATCTGATTTTTAACCTTTTTAATAGGCTTCTGACAAGGAACAGAAAACCGTGCTAGCTGGTGATGTGGAGGACATCTGTTGTGACAGCTAAGGTGCTTTGGATAAAGAAAATGAACGGACACACTTGGACTACGCTCTCCAAATAAATTAATGATTATCCCTCCACATTAGCGCAAATGATGGGTAGTTAGAAGAAACGTTGTAGAATTGTCAGAAACCTTGGGCTATTTGTGGGGCTATTACAGAAAACATTGAGCCATCGTCGAAAACGTCGGGTCATTTGCAAAAACTTTGAGCCATACATGCATGTATGGAGTTGAATGCAGGGCCAAAATCCATCAGGTTGAGGAAAGTACTGGACAAACCCATGTCAGGAGCCAAATTTAACCCGACATTTCCGATAATGAGTGGCCCAATATTGCTCAATTTGGTCAGTCGAAAATGTTGACTAGTCAACCCAGCTGGGTTGAGATTTTTTATAAGTTCCTGAAACCAAATTTGGGTGTTCTTCCGAAGTTCCGAGCGTATCCCCACAATGAATTTTTATTTTGCAAAATGTCCTTCTGTGAGAAACCAATAAACGGTTACAAACTTCTTATTCTATAATTTAGCATCCACGAACGGAAATGCTTATTACATATGGCATATTTTTCGGGTCTCTCTGATATACTTGGAAACATTTAAGAGCACTGCAGACACTTTGCATATTATGGATGGACTTACTAATATTTGGAAGTGTGGATCTTGATAACAGGCTTACTACCAGAGCAGACAGTCACCGTGACCTTCGTGTCGTAACGCCGCCATCAGAAAGCATGCTTTTACTGAATTAACAGTACAATAAAGATTTGAGGCGAGGTAAATGACTTTATGCAAGATATGCAAATATCAACATTTGGACGAAGCACTTTTTATCGCTTTCGCGGCTTAAGCGTTCTTTCAACATGCTCACTTATACCGAAGTAAGAGGAAACGCAGATGTTCAGATGTTTCAGACGGTTATAGACGAAATATAAGAAACTGCCGCCTAACTGACTTCTGCATCTAGAATCCAGGGATCACTGAATCCTGTGGTTGTCAACATGGATGTCAAATGATTGATTTATAAACAGATGGTTCCATTCGTATTCTGAACACGAATTTGAAACCGGTCCCGTCTTCTATGATCATTGACCTAAGTCAGCAGTTATCCCCCAGATAACTGCTTACGGTGTTGCCCTTTAGCCGA